TGTGACTGTAGACCCACAGCAATATGGTTGAATCTTACTGCCCTCTGAAATGACTCTAGAAAGCCACTCAGTGCAAGGGCAATTAGGGATGGGCAATCTTACTCGTGATGCCTACGTCCCATGAAAGAATAAAGTCTAAAACAGACTGCAGTTCTAAGAATATATCATTTTGTGTCCATACATCCTGAGATCAAAAGCTCTCTAAATATTTAAGATTTCAAGGACAATGTTGATTCAAACAGAATAAAGAGCAAAGAATTGATAGCAAGACTGGGTATATTTTATAAATGTTAAACAGTGACTAGAGAATTGGGATTAAATTTGTTGAGACATATATGCACAGATTGGTGGTTACAGAAGATTTTAAGTATCCAGGAACAGTGTGTGATTGGGAGAGTTTTGTGGTAAGAAAGTAGAGTTAGCAAACAGAACTGAGATGAGTATTCGATGTTTAAACAACATACTGAGGTCATGAACAAAATATATTCTGGTGAGAAAAATAGTGCATTCATTGAGTTAATTGAAGGCAATGATTTTTTGTTACTAAGTGCCGTAATTTTTAACTTTTCAAAATTAAACAGATTTTTAAAATATTGTCAGAATAGAAAATAATATGTACAGTTAGGGACAAAGGGAATTGATAAATTCTTGTGAATGGCAGAGCAGACTTGATGGGCTGAATGGTCTTATTTGGCTCCTATGTCATATGGCCTTTGAACCATGGAATGATAAGGCACAAGAGCAGGTACTTCAGCCCATCTGCCTGTGTTGACTCTTTGACTAGTCTATTCAATTCAACCCCTACCCTTTTTATTACATAAAGTCCTGCAAATATTTCACCTTTAGCTATTTATACAATTCTGTTTTGAAAATTATCACAGAATCCATTTCCAGCATCCTTTCAGGTAGCATATTTCAGATGTCAAATAATTTGCCGTTTAAAAGCATTTCTGCTCAGGTTGGCTGTTCCTCTTATCTAATGCTTTAAATCTGGGTCCTCTGGTTAACTTCCCTTTTGCCATTAGAACGAGCCCAGTCTCCCTGTTACCTCAACATTTCTGAGGCCCTGCATTTCCCGGGACTTCTGTAAATCTGTAAAGTCTTGACAACTTTCTGAAAGAGTGGTGTCCAGAGCTAGACACAGTGATTTAGCTGGGGTCAAGTCAGTGTTATACAAATATTCGGCATACCTTTGTACAGTCTTCCTCTATTCAAAACCCTAGGATAACACTACCTTATTAACAGTTAATTATTCCTCTAACTTCAACAAGTTGTGTATTCATCTCCTGAGATTTTTCTTGCAGACTCTTTAGTTTATGTTGCTTCTTTTCATAGTCGATTAACACATTTTTAATGTTTCCAGAATAAGGTAGCAACAGAACTGGGCTGTTTACTGCACAGCAACAGCCACTGGTCAGACTTGATACAAGTTCCTGTTTCAGTGCAGAAGACACATGGTGTTAGGTGCAAATCAACCACTATGTTCTATTGAGCACATATCTGAAGACATTTTAGGGAAGTACAGTACATGGGGGAGAAAGAATCAAAGGTGATTGTTTAAGGTGTTCGATGAAATAAGGCAGAAAGATGCTCATGTGGAACAAAACACTCCACAGAAAAGATGAACAGAAAATGCTGAAAGTAATCAGCAATTCAGGCAGCAACTGTGGAGAGAGAAATAGAACTCGCATTTCAGTGACGATCTTCTTTTATCGTAACTAATTCTGAAGTGATTTTAATTTGATTGTAATGAAAGGTTACAACCTGAAACGTTAATGTTTTGTCAGATAATGTAATAAACTAAAACAGAAATTGCTGGAAAAGCTCAGCAGATCTGGCAGTGTCTGTGGAGAGAAATCAGAGTTAATGTTTCGGATTGCGTGACCCTTCCTCAGACTGATGGTAGCTAGGAAAATGTTGGTTTATATGCAGAAGATAGGGGGGGGGGGGGGGGTGTCAGGAGTAAATGATAGGCGGGATAGAGCCCAAAGAGAGAGAAGAACAGTTGGACAGACAAAGGATTGGATAACAATCTGGCTAGGAGGGCAAATGGAGACAGTTAGTGGCAAACAATGGGTTGTATTTAATAACAGACTATGTGATAACAAGGCCTGGTGTGTGAGGGTTGGGATAAGGACATGGGAGCATTCAAACCCAAAAATTGTTGAACTCGATGTTGAGTCCAGAAGGCTGCAGGGTCCCCAAGTGGAAAATGAGGTGCCGTTCTTCCAGCTTGTGCTGAGCTTTGCTGGAACACTGCAGCAAGCCAGAGACAGAGATGGTAGCCAGGGAACAGAGTAGTGTGTTGAAGTGGCAAGGAACTGGAAGCTCAGGGTATTCTTTGCAGAGAGAACGCGAGTATTCTGTGAAGTGGTTACCCAGTCAACGCTTTGTTTCCTCAAAGTAGAGGAGCCAATGTAGAAGATAATTTAATAAAGGTGTTCAAAATCCTAAGGGATAGAATGCATAGCAACAATTCATTTCCATTCACCAGAGAGGCTCAAAAACAGAAAGATGCAGCTTAGAGTAATGGAAAAAACAATTAAAGAAGAGGTGGGAACTTTTGTTCTGCTGTGTGCTGTTTTAATTTGCAATGTTCTTATTAAACAGGCTGTATAACCAGCTTCAATGGAATGACAGTACAAAGCCTTGAAAGCAAAAGAGTAGAGGTCATGGAGAACTCTTTTTGAGAGTTGACACAGACACGAAGGGGCGAAGGGGCGAATGGCCTCCTTCCATGTTGTGTGACTCTTGTGAATTATGGCATCTATTTAATTAAAGGACAGACGTAGTTCTCTTATTCGAGATGCAAGTGTGGGGTTCTTAGCCACAGCTGTGTTTGCAAGTTGAAACCTTTCCTGGCCAAAACATGAGCATTGGAGATGCAGTCCTGCATTGGTTGCTACAGTGATGGAGATCTCATGAATAGTGAGAATTTCTTTTCTCCTACGAAAGGGGAAGGGTGGAGGGTAGAATGGCAAAGTGACAGGCGGTTGCCAAGAGAGTTGAATGCAGTACAGAAAGGAATCCATCTCTCAGAACCTCATCATTGGCTGACATTTACTCCATTGTGTGAGATATTGTTGCAGCAGTGGGAAAAGAGTCTGTGGATCATCAACCAAATAATACAATTCAGAAATAGCTCTCTTTTTACAAGACTCTTGCCTGCTTTTGTTGTTGAGTGTATCTGAGTTGTATGTGCATTATAGTTTAATGAGTTTAACCCTATCAGTGCTGAGGCATCGCAGCTCCTGCTCACTTTATTTATGCTATTGACAAAACATATTTTCCTTTTGTTCTTTACATCACCTTCAGCATATATTCGTACAGTAACTGACTACATTTTATGATTGAACAATAACTGGAGTCCTGTGCAGTTGGGACACAGCAATGCTATTGATGAGTGGGGTACAGACCACAAAATCAAAGAATTGTTATTGTGCAGAAGGAAAGTATTTGGCCATCATGCTTACACCAGTTGTCTATGAGCTAGTGCTAATCTCCTTACTTTTCCCCATAGTCCTGCACACCATTTCTATCCAAAGTTTTATTCAATGTTCTCTTGAATGCATCAATTGAACTTGTTTCCACCACACTTCCAGGCAGTGCATTCCATACGTTAACCACTTACTGAGCAAAAAGGTTTTTTTCTCACATCACCCTTGCTTGGTTTGTTCATCACTTTAAATCGATGCCCTCTCGATCTTGTTCCTTTTACAAGCCGGAACAACTTCTCCCTCACTAAGCTATCCAGCCCAAGTATGAATTTGAATATCTCTATTACATCTCTGCTCAGCCTCCTTCTGTCCAAGGAGAACAGCACCTTGGGGTGGCGTGGTGCCTCACAGTGCCAGGGACCGGGTTTGATTCCAGTCTTGGGCAACTGTCTGTTTTGAATTTGCGCATTCTCCCCATATCTGTGTGGGTTTCCTTCGGGTGCACCAGTTTCCTCCCACAGCCCAAAGATGTGTAGGTTAAGTGGATTGGCATGCTAAATTGCCCATCGTATCCAGGGGTGTGTAGGCGAGGTGGATTAGCCATGGGAAATGCAGGGTTACGGGGATAGGGTAGAGGATGGGTCTGGGTGGGATGCTGTTCAGACGGTCAGTGTGGACCTGAAGGACTGGATTCTATGATTCCCAACTTTTTCAATCTATCCCCCTGAATGGAAGTTTCTCATTCCCATGAGCAATTCTAGTCTCCCTGCTATAGGATGGATGTTGAGAAACTTGAAAGGATTCAGAAAAGATTTACAATGATGTTACCAGGGTTGGAGGGTTGAACTGTAGGGAGAGGCTGAATACACTGGGGCTATTTTCCCTGGAGCGTTGGAGGCTGAGGGGTGACCTTATAGAGGTTGATAAAATCAAGAGCAGTATGGATAGTGTAAATAGACAAGGTCTTTTCCCTGGGGTAGGGGAGTCCAAAACTAGAGGGCATAGGTTTAAGATGAGAGGGGAAAGATATAAAAGGGACCTGGGAGCAACATTTTCATGCGTGTATGAAATGACCGGCCAGAGGAAGTGGTGTAGGCTGATAGAATTAAAATATTTAAAAGGCATCTGGATGGGTATGATAATAGGAAGGGTTTAGAGGAACTGGGGCCAAATGCTGGCAAATGGGACTAGACACATTTAGGATATCTGGTCAGCATGGACAAGAAGGGTCTGTCTGCAAGCTGTACATCTCTATGACTCTGACTCTACTCAGCACTCTTAATATTAAAGTCAAGAACACTGTATGCTTTGTTAACTGCTCTCACGACCCATCCTGCCAAATTCAATGATCAGCATATATAGACCGTGGTGCCTCGGCTCAGGCATCCTTTTAGAATTGGACTTATAGGTGTATTTATTACAGTAATCAAAATATGTTGCCCTTACACTGACAGCAAGCCGTATGTGCTCTGGCCCTACACACAAGGGAGCGTGCTGCCAGTGAGATATGGGATTCTGCTTCCAGTGAGAAAATGGGGTGTGCTGCCAGTAAGACAAGGGGACATGCTGCCAGTGAGATGCGGGAGCACACTGCCAGTGAGATACGGGAGCGTGCTGCCACTGAGGTACGGGATCCTGCTGCCAGTGAGACACGGGGGCGTGCTGCCAGATGAGAAAAGGGGGCATGTTGCCAGTGAGATACTGGCAGCAGGCTTCCGTAAGACACAGGGGCATGCTGCCAGTGAGACATGGGAACGTGCTGCAAGTGAGAAAAGGGGGTGTGCTGCAAGTGAGAAAAGGGGGTGTGCTGCAAGTGAGAAAAGGGTGAATGCTGCCAGTGAGAAAAGGGTGAATGCTGCCAGTGAGATATGGGGGCGTGCTGCCAGTAAGATATGGGAGCGTGCTGCCAGTGAGAAAAGTGTGCGTGCTGCCAATGAGATACGGGAGCGTGCTGCCAGTAAGAAAAGGGGGTGTGCTGCTGGTGAGAAAAGAGGGCGTGCTGCCCATGAGGTACGGGGATGTGTGGCCAGTGAGTTACGGGGTGGGTGGTGAGGTGGGGGGTGGGGGGGTGGTACATGCTGCCAGTGAGATATGGGATTCTGCTTCCAGTGAGAAAATGGGGTGTGCTGCCAGTGAGATACAGGAGCCTGCTGCCAGATGAGAAAATGGGCGTGCTGCCAGTGAGACACGGTGGCGTGCTGCTAGTAAGACAGGGGGGCGTGCTGCCAGTGAGATGCGGGAGTCTGCTGCCACTGAGATACGGAGTCTGCTGCCAGTGAGGTACGGGAGTGTGCTGCCAGTGAGGTACGAGGGCATGCTGCCAGTGAGACATGGGGGCGTGCTGCCAGTGAGATACGGGAGCCTGCTGCCAGTGAGACATGGGGGCGTGCTGCCAGTAAGACACGGGGGATTGCTGCCATTGAGAAAAGTGGGCGTGGTGCCAGTGAGATACGGAGGCATTCTGCCAGTGAGATAAGGGGGCGTGCTGCCAGTGAGATACGGGATCGTGCTGCCAGTGCGCTACGGGAACATGCTGCCAGTGAGAAAAGGGGGCGTGCTGCCAGTGAGAAAAGGGTGCATACTGCCAGTGAGATACAAGGGTGCGCTGCCAGTGAAGTACAGGGGCGTGCTGCCAGTGAGGAAAGGGTGCGTACTGCCAGTGAGATACAAGGGTGTGCTGCCAGTGAGCAAAGGGGACGTGCTGCCAGTGAGAAAAGGGGCATGCTTCCAGTGAGATTCGGGGACGTGATGCCAGTGCGAAAAAGCGGAATGCTGCCAGGGAGATATGGGTGGCGTTCTGCCAGTGAGACACGGGGTCGTGCTACCAGGGAGAAAAGGAGGTATTCTGCCAGTGAGATAAGGGGGCGTGCTTCCAGTGAAAAAAGTGGGCATGCTGCCAGTGAAATACGGGATCCTGCTGCCAGTGAGACACAGGGGCATGCTGCAAGGGAGATATGGGGCGTGCTGCCAGTAAGACACGGGGATGTGCTGCCCGTGAGATGCAGGAGCTTGCTGCCAGTGAGAAAGGGGGGCATGGTGCCAGTTAGAAAAGGGGTCGTGCTGCCAGTGAGATATGGAAGCGTGATGCCAGTGAGATATGGAAGCGTGCTGCCGGTGAGAAAAAGGGGCATGCTGCCCGTGAGGTACGGGGGCGTGCAGCCAGTGAGGTACGGTGGGGGGGGTTCTGCTGCCAGTGAGGTACCGGGGCGTGATGCCAGTGAGATATGGGATTCTGCTTCCAGTGAGAAAATGGGGCGTGCTGCCAGTGAGACACGGGGGCGTGCTGCCAGTGAGACACGGGTTTGTGTTGCCAGTGAAATACGGCGGCCTGCTGCCAGTGAGATATGGTGGCCTGCTGCCAGTGAGAAAAGGGGGCGTGCTGCCAGTGAGATACGGGGGCGTGCTGCCAGTGAGATACGGGGGCGTGCTGCCAGTGAGATACGGGGGCGTGCTGCCAGTGAGA